ACCTCCTGGATTGCTTGTGCCAGGCTGTACTGTCACTCCAACAGATGTCAGGGTGGTTGAAGTCCCCCATGAGAACTAGAGCCTGCGAACATGAGGCTGTTCCTATCTGTCCATAGAGCGCTTCATCCACAGAGTCCTCTTGATCAGGTGGTCTGTAACAGATCCCCACAGTAATGTCCCCCATAGCTGTTCTCCCTTTAACCCTGACCCACAAACTCTCTGTGGACTGCTCACCTGTCCCCAGACAGAGTTCCATACTCTCCAGCCTATCCCTGCATAAAGGGCAACTCCCCCTCCCCGCCTGCCAGGCCTGTCTTTTCTAAAGAGCCTGTAACCTTCCATTTCAACACTCCAGTCATAGGAGCCATCCCACCATGTTTCTGTGATGCCTGTTATATCATACCCCCATAGATGTGCACACATCCCTAATTCCTCTTGTTTGCTCCCCATGCTTTGGGCGTTTGTATAGAGGCATCTGAGCCGAGCTCCAGATGAAGCCGGCTCCTTGGCTGGAGTGGCTGGGATATCTCTACATTGCTCCGAGCATTTATTATAGGTGCTGGCAACTGGCTGGGAGCGCTGGGATGGAATGATGCCCCCCTCCCCCAACACATCTAGTTTAAAGCATCCTTGACCAGTCTGGCAGGCCTCCTACCAGAACCACTCTTCCCCTTCTTTATCAGAGCAGCTCCACCAGCCCCCAGCCTACAAACTTGGGTCCCGTATTCAAGACACCCAAACCCCTGACTATGATACCACCCTTTTAACTATTTATTAACCTGGCTAATCCTCCTAGCTTTTTTTAGGTTCTCCCCTGTACCCTGGAGAATTGACAAAAAGACAATCTGATCTCCAGAGCCCCTAACCACCTCTCCCAGGGCTCTGTAGTCCTTCTTCATGTTCTCTAGGCTACTACTATCTATATCCCTAGCACCCACATGGATCACTAGAAGCGGGTAATAGTCCGTGGGACTTACTGGAGCAGGCAGCCTCTCTGCAACATCCTTGATCTGTGCCCCAGGTAGGCAACACACCTCCCTTGAGACGGGGTCTGGCCATCCATCTTTCTGCAGCCTTGAGATGTTAGACTTGTTCAGTCCAGTATTGTGTAACTGCCATACGATGCCCTAGGACAAAAATAACTGACTAATGCTTAGTTTCAGCTTTATACAGAAAAAATAAAATCACAGAAGGATCACCTATTATCTCTTGCATCATGAGTTTAATTTCTTTCCTCACAGTCTCATAAATAGCATCTGATAGTTGCTGCAGAAAGCATTAGCAAATATATTTTGTGTAAATTGAATTTGTTCCATGTGTAATCATAGCGATCAGATTAGTTCTCATTAGAATTTGTTATTTAATAAAGTGTTGTCAATAAAACTGGCTGTGAAAATTCTGGTCAATATACCTCAGCATGCAAGTATTTGCATAAACCGATACATGAACAAGAGCTTGGAATAACTTTGTTCAAGTCACATTCCTGAAAGCTTTTTGAACTTGCAAGTCATCTAGCTGGGGCAAAACAGCTATTCTCTTATGGTCATTCAGTAGCTAATATATAAAATAATGTTAACAATTAATATTTAGGAAATAACCTACTAGCTGAAACATGTTTGTCATTATTGAAAGACTGGCTTAAGGAGAAAGATATTTACAAGCCTTCTGCTGCTTTTAAGTCTGAACTCTACAGAGATTCCTGGTTTGGATAAACTGGTGTCGCTTCAAGCATTTAAAGGGAGCTTAGCCAATTTCTGTCAACTGAATGCCTTCCGTTTTCACTGGGGACTAATATTTGACCAGCTATAACTCTAATAATTGTATAACTAATTAACACTTTCTAAAATTATGTATTCAAATAGCGGTTGACCTGTTTGGTAAATAGCAAATTAACGTGAGCTATTCGAAGTATGTTCACAGAATTCATACTCATTGGGGAAAAAGAAAGCACTTCCCATGAGTTTGGATTTTCAGCCTTGTTCAGCAATATTGGATAGCCTGCTTTTTTTGCCCAACTATACAGACTGGCTGGACCTTCAAGTTAAACTGTTTGAATGCTGCTTTTGGGGTTTCACCGTGAATTATCACAATCTTTTCTCCCTGCACTCTGAAAAGTCTCATCTGAGATTACTCACAGGCTCTTTAGCTGCCCCTTGTTCCCACTGCAAAAGTAAAAGCAAGTTAAAGCCTTGACCAGATCAGGGTTATGAAAGCATTTAGATTGACATGGAGCTTCGTTAGCTGACGTGTTTGAGGTAAGACGCTATTAGGTAGTGAAGGGTGGGGAGGGAGTTTCTTTGATCTGTGTAGTTTCATGTGAAGCCTACAGAGAAGTAATAAATACTGGTTAGTCCTATCTTAATCTCTAATAGTTTCTGTATTTCCATCAGCTGCTTCATGACATGACGTGATTATTTTAGTCAGGGTCCCTGACACTTGGTGTCTGATGGGTGTTCCACCAATGGCAGTAGAAGATGTTACTCCTCCTCTCAGATAAATTTAACAGAGAAGGAAGGAGAGCATATGCAAGGCCTCTGCAGTGCTGCAGGTCACAGCCTGGTTCATAGTTGTGGGTTGCCAATGAAGACAGCATTACAGCAATGTGACAAGTTGTGAACTGAGATCCAAGCATACATCCTGTTTTGCTTACTCCTCCCACCTAGTGCTACACTCTGGAGAAAGTCTGAGGCCTCTTTCAGTCATGTTCATCTTCCCCTCTAGTTATTGCCTCTGATTATGGTTATCAATTTAGGGCCTAACAGAGTAGACTTCAAGCAGCATCTAATAACTCTGGGGGTCCCAAATTCAACAGAAAATAAAAATGAAACATAACTTGAGATATAGCTTCACCAAATAGTGCTATATTGGACAACTCTCAGGCAAAAACCTTCTATTTCTTCTTTTTGACATGTTGTTCTTTTCTTTCACTGGCAGCTTTCTTGCACGTTCTGTGGTGGAAAGGATGTAAAACATAGTTCATGTGTGATTAAAGGTTTGTTGGTTTTGAATTTTACTGTTAATACTTTTCCCCCAGTTAATCAGTTAAGTCTTTTTATGGATATCTTACCTAGACCTTTGTTTGCTACAAGATATATTGCAAGCAGAGAATTTTTTTTTTGGTTTTTAATATATATATATATATATATATATATATATAAAACAGTACTTTAATGTAAAATACAAGCACCTGCCTTTATAGCCATTGAGCAAAATCAAAAAGGTTGTGAACTCAGGTTTGAGAGCAAAATGTTTCTGGTGAGATTTGAAGTAAGTTTAATGCCGTTGATGGGGGTTGGGGTAATTGAATATACTTGGCACTTTGAGGCAATGAAGTTGAGCAGTATTGAAGCAGGAAGGCATCTAAAATTGTCTCTTCCTCATGCTCCTTGTTATGCTCCATGTTCCTCCAGTTCCTTGTTAGCAGCACAGCCTTGTTTGTAATCCCGGCTGGTTTCTCATACCATGCTCTTGTGCTTACTGTGCATGTACCTCTGGCTATCAGTACTCCAGTGGTGTACAGGAGGCAAGCTAATCTCTCCCTACCAATAACTTTGCTTATAAGATTGCTTTCTGGTTGAAATTAGTAGCCCTTGGGTTTCTGCTGGAGAAATCTTGTGACGTACTTCATCGGATTCTGTTAATTAGTGTGGCATATAAGGAAAAAAAAAGCTGGAAATCTTCAGCAATAAAAATGAACAATGCAGAGCTGCGAGGCTGGGACTGATAAGGATATGATTGTTGTGTTTGCTCGCATTTTCACTGGTACAAACAGCTTTGAACCAGAAAGACAGAGTTCAGGAGCAGGTGGCTGTGTGTAAGCCCAGACCTTCTGAGGTTGAGGGAATGCATTAAACCCTCTGGTAAGCTAGTCGGGTGCATGAAGATAGGCACATTTAGAAAAAACTTGGAAAAACCCAACCAACTTTGCCCTCTTTGCCCTTGGAGCATATTCACAGATAAGAAGCTTACGCTTCTCAGAAATGGGGGTTTACAGCCAGCCTGAGGAATAATAGGTATAGTAGTGGTAATAGTCTAGGTATAGTGAGGTAGTAGTCTAAATTATCTGTTGTTGTTTTTTGTTTGTTTTCAGAAAACAAAACGTATCCTATATTTTGCTGCTTTCTGTGCTTGCTTTTCATGAGTACCCAAGTTCTGAAGCCTAACCCCATTTTCAGGAGAAGTACATGTTAAATGCATGCTCTTGGTTAGCAGAGTCATCAGTTATGCCCTTTTTTTGTGAGCGCACTTGATAAAGTGGGATTATTCACTGGAAATCTTTTCCAGAGATTCAGTACAAATCTTTAAAAATTTTCTAAGAAATGTATGTGTCCCTACTAAGGCTGGGTTTTGGAGGAAGTGTATTTAAACTTTGCACTCAGATGATGGGTTTTCCAGAAAAATAAACTTCCTAAAATTCTCTTCTCCCATTATATTGTCCTACTACTTTAACTGATTTTGCCTTATCTTTGATGAGCAGCTACAGCTCATGGATGTTACCAGAGAAAAGATCAGAGTTATTGTCTTAGTGAAAGCAGTGACATCTGTGTAATATAAATGAATTGCCATTTGTATTGAGCATTCATTACTACTCTGTTCCAGGATAATTGTCTAAATAGGTATAAAATGTCCAACCTACCTAATGAAACGTTGCTACCACGTTTGGGCTGGGTACTTGGGGGACAAGCACAATTCTTCCCTTTCTTTTCTTCCTCTACATAGTTCCCTCTGTTAGAGGAAGAACTAAAAGACCTGTGATTTAAAGGTGGTTTTGAGGAGTTTAGGGCTGGATTATCTGAACCCACGGTGCTGCTGGTCTGGAAGTGTTGCACTGAGTTTGGCTGCTGGTGTGCTATGGAGCATGATTCAGACTGGAGTAGCACTCAGTTCAGTAAGCAGAGAGCTTATACAGTCTGCTCAGCGACCGTGGGAGACAAGCTAAACAAGCCTGCCAAACTTTCCTCAGAGATATTAATTCATCTCTATTTAATCATTTTTGAGACAAACTCGCATGTCTTAGTAGTGGCTGTCTCTTTTGTGACAAAGCTCTTTTCTACAGCTGGATTCAGGTTGCAGGAGTCCTGTTCCTGCATAAAGGTGGGTGTGTTGAACTTCCAGTGACTTTAGGAGTGACGTACGGTGTCTGTAGGCACTCTGCAGGGTAAACTCCCCAATTCCCATCAGTGGTCCTCTTGGAGGTGGTAATATATTTTCGTTCTGTGGTTTTTGCCCAGGCTCAGATTAGTGCCTCCCACATGGAAGGAGGGAAGGAAAAAAAAAAGAAGGAGAGGGAAGGAGCTACTACAAATGACAAAAACGTAGCTTTTCTAAAAGTGATTAGAATGTGCTTGAGGATATGAATATTCATTGGTGAGGCACTGAGTATGTGCTAAAAATGTACATATTTTCTTTGCAAGGGAAAGTAATAACATCACTTTGTAAAAATTCCTGGGTATCTAAGAAGTATTTCCATTTTCTCTGTCTTTATAGGAGAAAATAGGAGGAAAAAAGCCCCATAACCAAGCCCAAGAGTGAGTTTCTACATGTGGCTTATTACATGGCTGTCTTAATGCTAGTGCTGGCAGGAGGGAAGGGGTAAGCAAAGGTGTGAACAGTCAAGAAAGCAAGGGTGGGACCACTGTTTCTGACCTTAACCCACAAAACTCCAAACCCACTCATTTAAAATAGTTAGGACACTGATGATAGAGCTTCAGGGTAGTAGTAAGGAGCCATAACCAGAAGCTACTGCTGAAAGAGGCGGTCCTGCTTCCCTGCTCATTCCTGCTATGCCTTGTGCTTCACTGCTTCTCTTGTTCCAGCACTAGCACTTAGCTGGCCCCACTGTAGACCTGTTCAGGCGTCTCAGCAAAAACATTAATACCTACAAGAATATAGCTAGTCTTTTGCTTGGATATCCTGAAGCATAATCTGCACCCATAACCCAGTGTGTTATGGGTGCAGGGCAAAGAGGAATCAGTAATGCAAAGCATGGATTACTTGTGGGCAGTGGAAAACTGAGATTTAGCTGTAGAGCAAAATGCAGACAGAGAAGAACTAACTCTGTGGATTTGAGTCAAAGCAAGAAATTGAATTTGGGTGTCCCACTTGCTGTTAATGAATGCAGCTATATAACTGTTGGTTGATTTGAAGAATGATTTGGTATGCAGGTGGGTGGCAACAAAGAAAAAAGCCCCCAGTTTGTTTTATCTATGCTATACTTTTGACAGAGATTGAAGCTCTGTTATATAAAATGTCATAGTTAAGTGGTTATGGTGTTTTATTATCAGTATCTCCCCTTGATACATAGCTTCTTTTTATGGACTTATATTTAAGCAAGCTGCTTATATTTAGGTAAGACTTGGAAGAAGCTCACACATGTTATTTCAGTACACACTGTAGTCTCAGGCGGATTTATATTTCTAAGAATTTCCTAGCTTTCCCTTTAGCTACTACAGTTAAAACGCGAATGATACTAGATTTGGGGATTAAATTTTGTAGGTCACAGTGGGTCTTCACAATTTGTCTATTTTCTACTACTGCTAAATATGAAAACATTAGGAAGTTCTTCATATTAGTGTTGTGCTAGTATTCCTTTGTACAGACTTCCTGTTTTGTGCAGTAGAGGTTTTTGCTGGACATTTGGTCTTCAGCATGTAGTGTAAGGTTTTTCTCTTTAGAGATTATTAACACCTTTTTGCACTCTGTCTGTATTAACTGTACAAGCAGATGGACAGTTTTTCCTGGTTAAATTGTTTTTAATTTAGCCTAAGTTTGGTTGCTGGCCAAGTACTCATCACCTGTGGATCAGATTTGGCAGCTCTTTTGTTTCTCATCCAGATATTTTTTTCACAGGATTATTTCTTTTTGAAAGGCCACACCAAAGTATAGCTGAAAAGCAAACAAAACACACTACTGGATTTCAAATAACAAAGAACTGCTGAACATGTAATTTCTCTTGTTTTGGTCTTTTTAAATCATCATTCAGTGCTTTTGTTGGCATAGCTGCCTAAGACTAGGGCATAAACAATTAGCTGGAAATCATCATCTTTTTTTGTTTCCCTGCATACAGGAAGTTTAGCACAGTACATACTGTTATCTTAGGATGGACCTCTTATTGTTCTCCCTTTTCTTAAATAGTCATAATTAGTATGTCATAGGCTGGTAACAGATGTTTAAGACCAAAAACATTTGTGCAATACAAAAAAATCAGCTTGTACTATTGACTGTAAAGCACCCTTGAATGCATCCACCTCCACTGTTTCTTACAGCAGTCTAATTTCTTGAAGTGACTTCTCCTATCTCTTGTTTACAATCACTGAAGCTATTTTCCAATGCAGTTGTCCCTGAGGATGTTTTGCTCTCCCTGTCCGCTATAGGGCAGTTGCCAGTGTATCTATCCGGAAGAGATAGGAAAATAGGACAATCTAATGGACCATTCACTTATCTAAAACACTGCTACACTGGCTGTTGTGATTGCTTTGTGTCATTAGAAGATTACTCAATGCCAGACTAAATCTTGGAGGTCCTGTCACACTTGTGTTAGATCACTCAGTCGGGGTAATGTAGTATACTTTGATTGAAAGAAAGAAAGGGATCTGGGCTTAACACTGAGAAGGCAAGTAGTTACTGGTATGTATTTGAACAGTGAGGTAAGCGTGATGCCTTTGTGCTATACAGCAAGACAGGATCAGAGAACTAACTGCAAGGAGCGTTGACTTCTCTAAAGAAACTGACTAGTCTATCATTATTAATTTTATTATCTGAAACAGGCCTTAAGTGGGAACAGTTTAAACATGTAAAGGATATTCTGCTTTCTACTTTAATATACGTAGCTTATAACATAGAATATTAAAAATATAAAAAGTCTCTCTGAGTGTGACTCGTACCTACCACCGTGTCTGGTATTGAACTCCTGAAATGATCTTTTACCTATTTGCCTTGGGAAATCTCTTGTCTACTTAAGCCAGAACTCTGGAAAACAAGATGACACATACTGCTGTTCTGGCTAGCAGTTCCTATAGATGGTATTAAACAAATCTCCCATAAAGGAACACATTTTATGAGACAGCTTTTATGCTGGTCAGCATGCTTCACCTCAGTAAATGTTTATATATTTCACCCTAACCTGGGTTGGGCTGCAGGTTTCTGGTATTAGCTGCATTCACACTGAGATACTTGGAGTTATACAACAGCATCGCTGGCAAAGCAGTTCTGCTATAGTTCTGGTCTCAAGGTTTATAAACCTTTCCTTTCACTAACTTGTGCTTTTGCTGTCACCAACAAAGGGCCAATTTCCGAAAGGGTGTAAGAGGGTGTACCTTTCTTTCCTATAGTTTCTCTGCCAGTGGGGCAATGAGTTAAATCATTTTCAGAAGAAGCAAGGTGCTTTCAGTGCTGTCCTGAATCCCTTCCATTACAGAAGCAATACATTGTAACTGTCATAAAAGGCCATTGTAACTTAAAAAGCTTCTCTGATTAGTCAATCTTTTCTCCATTTATCCAGGAAGATGGAATTAGCACAATGGAAAAGAAAGCCTGAAATGGGTCAGTTATTTACAGTGCATTCAGCTTTCTTTTGTGTCTGAAAAGACTTCTATTTAGTTTTTATATGATTAAAATAAAAGACAGAGGAAGCTGCCAGAGGAAAGAGCCCAGGATTTTGGGCAACTGCTTTTAGCAACATAAAAATGGTATTGAAGCAAGTGTACCCGATATTTAAGTCTTTCTGGAACAAACCCAATTTTAAAAGACATTTCGAAGCCATTTAATAGTCTACTCTTTTCCCAGATTCCTGTTTTCACACCTCTTTATTGACATAAGGATATGGCTGGGGTCAGTAGCAATTTGGGAAAGAAAGCAGAACAAATTTCCTGATCACCATGTGATAGTACATCTGCCATTTCAATTTAAGCCAGCATCTGAAGCTACTGCATTTGTAGGCATTTGGCCAGATTCTGATGTAACTGGCATCAGTTTTAGACTTGTGCAACTACTCTGTAAATCTGGGCAACTCCAGTGTAGTCAGCCATGTAAGAGGAGAATAAGGCCTATTTTTACCAGGTCAGCCTTTTTTATAATGTTTGCAGTGTCTTGGAAATTTGCTCCCTATCTGTTGCATTTAATCCGCTTGAACTCCTTCTCTGAGGTGTCCCAGTTTACTCAAATGTTGGTGTAGAAGACAGGACGCTATCACTTGTGATCTGTCTCTTGAGGCAACAATTATAATGTTGTCTTTTGAAGGTTTTCTTTCTGGGGTTCAAGCAAAATTTTAATGTAAGGAGGCCTCACTGCAAGTGACTAAAATTTGAAGATCAAAATGTTCATATGCAGTAAGTGCTCTAATATATGGCCCAATCATTAATCTGGTTCAAATATGTAGTTGGGATGTATAATCCCCACAAGTTGGGATGTATAATCCCCACAAGTCTACCAATTGCCTGAGACCCCAGGATGTGTGTTCTGACTAGAACAGAATGAGTTGGATGGAAGGATGCAAAAAACCTGTGTCTAGTTATCTGGTCATAGGGAACTATGTGTTGTAACATCATTCACCTGGGTATAACCTGTTTCCCAACAGGAAACAGTCCAAGAATCAGGCTTTCCATATTGAAGCTTTAGTAAATCCAGTTGAGGATGTGAAATATAGAGTGGACATGGCGGAAATAAACTAGATTGAATAATCTGCACGGGATAATTTACCTGATTCTAAGCAATTTCGCTAAATAGGTTCAATTCTTACAACAAATAGGAAATTATAACTGCTTTTGAAGTGAAAAGGTTGGGAATAAATGGAGTTGTAATGTCACAAAATATCCCAAAGGGGTTAGTGCTTTTTTTTTTGTTAGATTTCCCTGGGAGTATTTGAACCAATAGGCTTTTTAGAGCTACTGGCCAGATCAGTGACATTGCTTGTGTTGATCAATACAGTATAAACATTATTACAGGCAGTCCTTACAGGACACACCTGTCTGATTCTTAAATGTCAAATTATAAAAAGTAGCAAAATGTGATAATATGAATGTTTTGAAAAGGCACAAAACCACACAGGAAAGAAACTCTCATGTTGGAAGGCAATAGATCACAAAGTGGTACCCTGTCATCCTTCAGTGTGATATCCTTTCAGTTTAATCTTGATTTAGGCTTTTCTTATCAGTGGATATTTACGTTCATTCTGCAGCTAGAATAGACCCATGGAAAACTGTGAGAATTTTGCTGGGGCTCTGTGCAGGTGCAACTTGTCATGCATTTCATTGAGTGGCAGAGATCATAGGAAATAATTGTTTCCACTGATCACCATGTTATCACCTCTGTGTGCATTGTACACTAACTTATTTTGTCATTCCTAGAAAGTAATTTTATAAGTTCTTAGGATAAGCAATATAGCTAATGAGACTTTCAAATCATTCTGAGATTGGTCCCAGCACTGACCCCTGAGGGACTCCACTAGTCACAGACCTCCAGCTAGATTCTGCCCATTAACCACAACTCTCTGCCTTCTTCCTTTCAATCAGTTCTTGATCCACCCCACTACCTGATCATCAAGCCCACACTTCCTTAGCTTATCTATGAGGATGCTGTGGGAGACAGTATCAAAT